TTAAAGTTGCCAAGGTTGGACACCCCTGACCTAAGATGACTTATTCTGGGACTTATTCAGACTGCCCCAGGAGCTGTTGATAAGGTTTTACAGAGGAATTATTGGATCTGTTATTTGTGCTTCTGCAACTGTTCAATTTTGTACAGCAACCAAATAGGACAGGTACAGTCAGAGTCCAACTACAAATGATTGTATCTTTCAGATACCGGAAATATTTCTCCCAGTGGCCCTGGAAATGTTTTTCTTGATCATCCCTACCCAGCAGAGAACAGGTCATTCTGAAAAGGGCCACTGCTCAGCTATTTGTGAACACAGTTAAGAGTGGAAAAATAGTTACGTTTTGTGGCTCTTATTATTATGATATAGTCTCTAATATGGTCTCTTAGTCATGTGCAATCATATTCACTCTTCATCTTCCTCAAATGGCATCCTAAGCATCTCTTCTGCCCTTTTAACTCCTAGAGTTCCCTGGAAAACTAATTCTTATCAATCTTAACATGTGACCACCTGCACTAATTAGGTCCTGAATATTCTGGATCAAGATCCATGGTTGTTGTCCTGGAGTGAACTCCCAAGCCACCTCCAACTCAAATCAAGTTAAAATCTCCCAGAATTAGCTCTCCACTGCTAATTCCACAACTCAGGCAGGGATATCATGGTACACTAACAGAGGCCAATAGAGCAGCAAGAAACTCAGCAGTTTCCTAGCACCCAACTAGGGTCTTACATCTAGATATCTGCAGCCATTTGCTCCTGAAAGTCAATAGGGTTCCAGGATGACAGTTGCCACCAGTGCCACCTGCCCTGGGATCACAGCTGGTGCCAGACTTGAAAATCTAGGTGAACAACTTGCCCCTTTCCTTCTGATGATGATCATGTTCTTCTGATGCACATGGTATAGTATACATGGTATAGTATACATTGAGCACGCCACATGATCTGAAAAATCTATTTACAAGATTACAAAATCTATTTACAAGCTAACTATCATAAATCATTCAGTGGCTGGATAACCACATCACCTTAAGCAATTGTAAAGTTTGTTTAATGATGGCTTAGTATGCTGCATGCTGCACTCAAGTTGCAATTAACAAAACCATGTTTTAGTGCAACAGAGTGTGAACATGTCACTGTTTCTATCTGAGGTGAAACCTATCCTTCTAAGCTGCTCCCTCTCTTATCTTAGGGATAAGATCTGCCTTCCTCATATACTTTGGCAATGTCATTCAACCTAATGAAGACCAGGTAGTCCTCATGATACAATGGAAACTGGGGTCAGAATTTCGATTGCTAAGTGATGCGGTCGTAAAGTGTAGTTTCAAATGGCTGCATCGCTTATCGAGAGCTATTCTGGCACTCCCCATGGCCGTCATTAAGCAAGGATTGTGGGTTGTGAGTGACTAAGTAAGGACCTCCTTGCTGGTTCCAATAAGCAAAATGAGTAAGCCAGTAGGAAGTCACAAGTCCCAGGCAGCTCCCAAGCAGGCCAGTAGGCAGATAATTGGCTGCTGCCGGGTAGGGGAGGGTGCATGAGTGGGCATCAATTTTTAATATGCTGTTTAATATGGATTTTGACAGATTTCTCATTTTTGCTAGAATGAAATTTAATTAACTGTCAATTGTATGCTGTTTGTTTTGAATTAATGAAATCCTGATTAGGGGGTTATTTTAAATGGGGAAAAAACATGGCAGTAAATCAGTAAATAAACCAAGTGTGTATGTTTTAACTGTGAGCAAAGTGTAAAGATGAAAAAGATTTTTTTTTTTAAAAAAAAAAAAAGTAGTAAGCGCTGTTGGAAGCTGAGATTAAACCTTATTTTGCAACAGTTGTAAACAACGATGCGTGGGTCACACGTCTTATGTGTAAATAAACTGATGGGATTGAAAAAGAAAGTCATTTCCCCCCCCTCCCCCACTAACAGCCCTGTGCCCAGTTTCAAAACTCACGTGCGTAGAAGGCTGCAGTCATAAAAGACAAAGTTTGTACTGGCAAATTCCATGCCAGTTTCCTTGGACAGAAGCTGGATCCTAACAGTCCGTACATCACCTGAGAGTTATAGGGAAACAGGAGGAAGGAAGAGCATTCAATCATGGTGTGACATTCATGAATTCCGACACAATCAACTTCTGCTTCCACATTCAGAATCATGAAGCAAAATTAGAATTCCATGATGCCTCCCATCAGCATAGTTTTGCAGAAGAGAGAAAAGCATTTATTTACCACTGTTTCCAGACGTTATTTTTTTTTTTTTTTGCACCATAGAGTGGCAACCAATCTGGTTATTGAGCATGGGAGCAGCATGAAAAGCACGAAGGCAAAAAGCAGAAGGCCAAAATCTCTGACAAAATAGCATTTGACGTATAACTCTAATTCCATCTTGAGCATTGTCATCTGCTTTTTAAAAAAAAATTGCATACAACTTTAGGCTTGTTGTGAGAAAGGATCAGGACTAAGGAGAATTTCTTTGAAGCCATCAAGAAGTTTTTGGCAGAGGCAAGGTAAGGACAGAAAGGTGGACTATATCTTACTTTCTAGCTCTGTCCCATCTGAATACTACACTGTTACTTCCTTTCCCATCATCAAGCACTTACCATATTCCCCAGGGGGCTCATCCCTCAAAGTAGGTGAAAGGCAGTGGATCCCTCCGTTCACCTGAAGCTGTCCCTCGCTCTCACCAAGGCCCTCAAAGGAGCAAGTCACCCCAGAACTCAGGTCTGGGACATTGTGGACTGTAAGCTGAAGCTGGAAACATAGCACAAAAGAATGATGTAATTTTAAGGAGAATTATGTCAAAAGAAGGGAAAACATAATGTGTGCTATGTACACATAAATATGAGCCCACTGTAACTACAGAGCCAAAAAGGCATTAAGAGTTGCTAACCTAATCCTGTGTAGCCTTTTCTCCGGTAATATCACACTACAAACTAGAGCATACAAAACATTTGCTAGACCAATACTCGAATACAGCTCATCAGTCTGGAATCCACATTACGTATCCGATATTAATACTGTTGAGAAAGTCCAGAAATATTTCACAAGAAGACTTCTCCACTCCTCTACTCGTTGCAGAATACCTTATCCCACCAGACTTGAAATTTTAGACCTAGAAAACCTAGAACTACGCCGCCTTCGGTCCAACCTAAGTATACTACATAAAATTATATATTGCAATGTCCTACCTGTCAATGAATACTTCAGCTTCAACCATAACAATACAAGAGCACACAATAGATACAAACCCAAGGTTAATTGCACCAAACTTGATTGCAGGAAATACGACTTCAGCAACAGAGTGGTCAATGTCTGCAATACTGTACCTGACTCTGTGGTTTCTTCCCCAAACCCCCAAAACTTTAACCCTAGACTGTCTACTATTGACCTCACCCCTTTCCTAAGAGGTCTGTAGGGGGCGTGCATAAGCACACCAACGTGCCTACAGTCCCTGTCCTACTGTTTTTTTTTTTCTTATAGTATCCATTTCATGTATTCATAACTATGTTTATACTTATACCTGTTATCTTATAATCGCTTGACAAATAAATAAAATAAATAAGACACTTTTCAAGTTTTATGACATACAGTAGCCTAAATGCAGTGACACAGATAAAATGATTGTGGTTAATCCGATTTAGTCTGCATTTTCCCTACTTTGCAATAGCCATGGTTGATGAATGGGAAACAAAAAACCCTGCAGAACACTGAAATTTGACCACTGGAAATTTTACTCAGCAATTTATCTGGCTTCTGAATTCCTACCAGGCATTATCCAAGCACATCTTGGCAATCATAAAACTGAACAATTACTTTTAAAAAACACACAAAGAGAAGGAATACGGTTATTCTTACAAAGCTGAATGGTATGGTGAATATCATATTATTCGGGCAAGCTTACTCATCATTATGGTTCTGTTTGCCTAGGGAGGATCTTATGACCTTCCAGATGCTCTGAGTTGCAACACCCAGCATCCTGCACCAATGGCTGTATGTGGCGAAGGCCCTTGGGAATTGTTGTTCAGCAACATCTAGAGCAGTGATAGACAGGCAGCCCTCCTGTATTGCTATATGTCAATTCTTATCAGCCCTAGCTAGCCTAGTTAGTAATGAGAGGTGATTAGTTGCAATCCAACAATAGCTGGAAGGCCACATGTTTTTGTCCCCTAAATTAGAGGGCCGTGGAGTCTCTATCCCACTATGGAGATAGCAGAGGCATGGATTATGGATCAAAGGCAATCCTCTGCTATGCTTTTAGTAGCTAATATGAAGGCTGGAGATGACCTTGAAGAAGAGCGGTAATTACCTACATAAATACAATTTAGAGCACTAAACCAATTACTCTTGTTTCCCAAAGGATTCTATACTCAAGGTAGTTTGCAAGACATAAGAAATCTTATCACTAATCAAAGATCCTCTGAAGTTAATGAGTGATTTTTCATGGCATCCTCAAAATATAACCCCACAGTCAACAGAATATAATGTTTACAGTCTTCCATAATAATTTACCAAGTTGAATACGTCCAATTAAAAAAGAGAGCCAAGAGATATAATGGTATCTCAATTCAGTTCCAAAATGACTGTAAAATTCTATATCCACACTAAATGATTGACTTTCTTACAGGATGTGTATGTCAGCAGCAAAAAAATAAGTTATTTCTTTAGTAACTTGCTGGTGTGGATTAGGGCGAGAGGTAATGGTCTTCCAAAATTCACTATAATGGTCTTCCAAAATTCACTTTAAAATTCACTAAAAAGTACTTAGCTTTCCTTTCTCCTAATACTCACAGTCTATTTTGTTTATGGATCGGTTTGGGGTCAGATTTCCCCTTTCAGAGTGGTAGCTGGCCTCAGAATGTTGAGGCTCAATTGACCAAGAACACGGAAGACGAAGAGACCAATAACAGAGAGAAGACACAGTTAGAGAAAACAAAAAGGGGATAAAGAACAATTAGCCAGCAGGATCAGGGGAGCCAGATGTTCAAAAAGGCCAGCAGCAGGGAGAGACTCACCACAATGCTCGGTTCTGTCACTGAGATATTACTGGGCTCAACCAGCAACTGCACACATTGCGTCCGAGTTGCCGTAAAACGGTGGGGTTCTACAGCATGGGGGCACTCGCTTTCTCTACAGCACCTGAGGGCACAGAAACCAAAAGGAGTAGGGAGCAAAATGGGAGAAGTCTGCAGAACCTTACACCTTCGTTTGTTCCTCTTAACGGCTTCTCCTTCTGTTACAGGGGGCGCAAAAGCTCCTGGTGGGTTGGGGTCAGTCAGAGGCAGGGACCATGAAACAGAATGTGTATCGGAGATATCCGCTGGAAGGGGGGGGGGAATCGCTGTACCAGCAGCCCAACGCACACGTAACTAAATCCAGGCATAGGAAAGACATCTTGTGTGGGAAAGTTGGCAGAACTGAGATCAAAAGGGAGGGGGCAATAAAAGCAAGGCTCGGTAATTTAAGCATGTGAGAGTGCACCCACCAGGGCATGAGGGAAGAAGTCAGCTTGGGGACTGTAATGCAGACCTGCTGCTTCCGCTCGGGGGGCCCCTGGAGGCTTGTTAACATTAGAAGGAACCAAGGATGCTTAGGGATCTGGGGACCGAGGCGCCTGCCTGGAGAAAAGATGACAGCAACAAGACATTCACAAGCAGGGTGGGGTGGGGAAGGGCAGCACGGGAGTAACCCTAATCCTTCCCCCTCCCCTGCCCACACCCCCAAAAAGGGGACAATATCAGAGAGCTCATCCTGGATGCCATGAGATCTGGGCCCGGGGTAGGAAAGGATGGTGAAAGTCCACGGCTTGCAAACAAAGTGGAAACGCTTCTTCGGCTGAGGAGGACGGGAGGCTGTAAGCACTTCTCACTTTTTTTTTTTTTTTGCACGCTTCCTGCTCCTTCTCCCGACCACACCATTGCTTGGAGGGGAGAAGTGTCACCTCGGCTTTCAGGGGGCCTCCCCCCCCCAAGTGTTATTGCACAGTCTATATTAAGGAAGGAGGTGCAAGCTGCAGCACCAGGTGCTGAGGCAGGGAGAGGAGATGGAAGGTGGGAAGAAGGGGGGAGGAAACATCTGCTGGGAGAGACAGAGAGTCGGGGCTACTGCAGGGCAGAGGGAAAGGTTGCTTTTTTCCCCCTTGCCTCTTGCTTCTCCCTCCCACCGCAAGTGTTATGCACTGCCTCTGCCATGGGGTAGGACCCCAACACTGATGCAGGAAGCAAGGACCGGCTTTCCTTCGGAAGGGGGCACGGAAGCATCTTCCTCACCCTTTGCAATGCCATATCCAGCAAAGGATTGGTGTGTGTGTGTGTGTGTGTGGTGTGTGTGGAGCAGAAGGAAAGAGAAAATCCTCCTTCGGGCCTGCACCTCCAACCTCCTCTTACTCTTCCCGCCTAGTCAGCTGAGTGCTGGCAGCTTTAATAGGATTAAAGCTCCTGCAGAGTTCAGATAAAGGGGGCAGGGGAGAGGAAAGTGTGCAACTGGCTGTCTCCTCCCTGCTTTCGCTCCCAGACTTGGGTGAAAGCACAAGAAGAATGGGTGGAGGGGGGAGGGAAATGGGTGGGGGGGGATAGGAATGGCAGATCAAGGGTTCTTCCTCCCAGCTTGCATAGTTGAAGGTAGAAAGGGGGATGATCTCTCACCTATTGTGTAGGACACACCAGCCACAGTGTGGGTCTCGGGAGCCCAAGCAATCTGCACAGGAAAGATATTGTCCACAATTCTCCACAGGAAGCTGCACCACCTGAGGGAAGAGCTGTATCAATATACATCTGCAGACCTCTTTCCCCACCCCCAATCATTCATCCACTCTGGAGTTTCCCCACAGCCTTACCCTCCAGGTATATATCGGGCTAGGGATTATTTCCCCAACATAAAAGAGTCAAAATGAAGGAAAAGACACTTGTTGAATTCTTGCCTGGGCTGCAGCAGGTGTGAAAAAGTGAGCCCTGCCCGAGGCAAAATCGGGACTACCACGTCCGAGTGAAAGTTTGAACAATTGTAAAAATGTGGCAGGAAAGAGTATGGGGTTTTCTGTGTCCTGGGTCTCCTTTCGCTTCCCTTCATACTTCTCCAGATTTTTACAATTCAGATCTGGTTATCCTAGCAAAACGGGTAGCAAATACACATGTACCCAGCAGCCCTTGGTCTCACATTTGCCAATCTCCTTCAACCTTCTTCCTTCAAATTCAGCCTCTGCATTTCATACATTCTTTGCATTTTGCTATTTGAATAATTTATTCACGGCAAAGCAAATACAACGTTCACGGCATCCCTCACTCCGTACATTTATAGGCATCTTGTCTATTGAGAAGAGACCCCATTGGTGTATTCAGTCCTGCCCAGGGCACCTTATCTTAGGCTCCCGACCTTAATTGGCCATAGCAATGTGGAAAGGATTTTCCCACCCCACTTAGAAAAATGAAATAATCTTCACAGTCACTCTTCATTCTCACATTTTAAACACATTGAAATGTATGCACAGTTATCTTGCCCCAGTTTCTATTGCTGATGTAAAGCACACACTTCCCTAAAGCTTAAACTCATTTGGGTTGCAATGCAGCTATTAAAAAAATAAAAGAGGTACTGAAATTAAGCTTTAACTCTTCTAAGGTAAGTATAAATCTGCTGAAAGAGAAAAAAAAAGTTTAAAAGGGCTGGGAGCAATGAATAAAATGCCATTATTTACACAGATATGGATTTTCTAAAAATGCAATTATATCTATATATAAAACACATAAATAGATATCCGGAATGTCTTCTTGGCATGGGAAGGTAGAGCAGAAATCCTACCACTAATGATGTTCCCTAACAATAATATTGATAATATCATTATTATTAGACAACATCATTAGTGATAAGATTTAAAACCTGCCTTTCCATGCAAAAAGAATCTCTCTAAAGAAAACAATTTCTTTGCAAGCATTCTCTGTCTTCTGCTACTGGAATAAAACTTGGCAGCCAGCCAGGCAGCCAACAATCAATCAGCCAATCAATCAATCAATCAATGAACAAAAACAAAAGCCCCAGAACAGGTAAGCCAATTGTTACTATTTGTTGGTCTGAATTATAGTTCCCTCTCCCTGCCAGATGCCACACTGATGGAGTTTGATGGGAGTTGAAATTCAATACCGCATACATGGAGAGTCAAAATTCCTGATTAAGTGCTATCCAGGTTTATTCCTAGTGACCACATAGATAAACTGTCTTCAGGATGACCCGTCGTCAATCAAGTTCCCACCAGTGGCTTATTCTTCGCCTTCCTAGCTCAGGTGCAACAGAAGCTGCTGCCTGACCCATCTCCCTTAGGCTGACCTGTCTTTGGCTGAGCAAATAGAGGTAGCGCTGGTCAGGATTCAGGACCATGTCACGTAGCACGGGCTCTCCAGGCATCACTGGCACAGACTCATAAAGATGGGCCTCATCCGGATTGTCCACACGAACCTGCGTAGGGTATAATGACAAAAGCAGCTCCCTTTTGCCTCTCCAAATTGGAAGGATGAAGAGAGGATAGGGGTTCCCTCCCCATCCTTACCAGAAATAGAGGATCTCTTAACAAGATGGCTCCTAAAGCCACTTTTCAAAAAATAGTGCAGCTTTTTTGTCTTTTTCTTTCTAATGTTCTCTTGGCAAGAAAGAAAACAGATGAAATATTGACAAAGTACAGGATTACAAATGGAAAGTAATATAGTCTAGACCTTTTAGAAAAGAATGAGTCAGGGCCATTCCTCATGAAAAATCCCGTATCTGAGGGAGGGATTATTGAAAATGAATTTTTTTTTTTTTTGTGGGGAGGGGAAGGGAATAGTATGTCAGTATAAATTTTTAGCAAATATATAACTAGGATGTTTTTGGACTCCCAAATTCCATTATCCCATCAGCAAGACTTATAATTTTACAATTATGATTTCTGACAACGTCTGAATGGTCGTAGTTTCTCCATTCGTGTCATATAGGAAAATAGATCCAATGGATAAAATATAAAACCTAAAGCAGCTTACTTTTCATTTTGTTCAATTACACTTTACAAATAGATTCCATAATCTTAAATTTTTACATATCTGAAAATGAAAACAATGATTTACCTCACAAAGTTGTCACAAACGTAAAACATTTCAATATAACTAGCCCCAAGAGTTAGAAATTGTACTAAAATAATAATGATGGGATAATGAAACGAAGTGCATATGGTGGCAATTGTGAGATGTGTAGTAGCTTCCTCTGTGAAGCTATGGACTCAAATCATACGATCCAAGGACACTGGCAGCCAATTAAAATAAAATTCCTTTTTTAAAAGCACTTTATAAATTAGCGAAACAAACTTAAAGGTTATAAATCCAAGTTAAAATATGTATGTCACATTCCTTGGCAATCTAGTTATCTCCAAACTATTTTATACAACCTACTATACAAGATCACAAAGTACTTTTTTGCTGAGTGAGTTACAACCTCCATGTGCATTTAATAGCTTTCCCATTTGAAAAACATGCAAGCAACCAAGATTGTCATCACCCGCCACCACACTTTTAAAAAAAGGTAAAGTCGTGCATTTTAATTCAAGGATTGCATGAACCATCAATGGAATTGGGAGCCCTAATCTCAACCCTCACTGATAATAGAAACAGGATAGCATTAGTGTTTATAACAGCTCTAAAATATACTGAGCTTATGTGAGATAACCAATCTGCAATTTTTAAACATATTTTTGAATTTTGATTATTTAAATAAATGAATGTTGTTGCTTTTGTTTATTTTTATTTAATAAACTATACATACTATCATGGCTATTTTTCTTTTTCTTTTTTTTGGGGGGGGAGAGGTTGAAGATTGATCCTATGGAAGCTGAACTGACAGGTGTTTGAATCATCCCTACAACATGTGGCATTCATAAGGAAGGAGCTGCTGATAAATAGCAGATGAACAATTGGAAAAAGTGAGTCTCCACCATTTGGGTTGGCATTATGAGGCGATGAAAAGCAATTTTGAGGAAGGGCAAGACACTTAAAGTTAAAATTGCTACTCTAAGAGCCCTGCCATGGTGTTTTTTAGTCATTTGGGAAACAGCATGGTTGCCAAGGGAAGAGGAGGAGAAGAAGTGACAGGCACTGAGTGAAATTATCTCTCTATCTGGTTTGTTTTAGTGTGATTTAATTCAGTCCAGCAGTCTTGCTCTTTGCACGCTGCTTGGCTTGGCAAATTAAAAATAAGCAAAACATTTAGATACCAACTGAACTGCAGAAGTTAACCAAAGTGACTTCTGTGTGAAAACACATTGCGCCAGTTCTGGAGAGGAAGTAGCTCCATGGCAAATGAAAAGCAGGCTGCTTTTTATTAAACATCAATTCTTTCCAAGGCTTACACAATCTGAATTTCTAGCAATTACTGGTACATTCAAGAGATTCAGAAGATTGATTTCTGACACTGAAGTATAATATCCCATTATTTTCAGAAATCCAACAGTTGGGGCCCCATCCATTCTTCACACATTTCCTGTAAAACAGTAGCCCAGGATAAAGGACTGTTTAATTGTTTAAACCAAAGCTAGGGGGGAAAAACACAGGTTAGTTCAGGTTTATACACCATTGTTTGTTAAAAAAAAGCGTTATCTTCCAGTCACTAGCTATATATCACAAAGGGGAAGCTGAATGCATGTAAGAGTTGGCAAATTCCCAAAAGCCTCTTCCCGTCTTGCATAGAATTCAGATGGAGCTTAGCAGATATTTTTCAAAATGGCCCCAGAATGTGACAGTGGGACTGCAGGAAGCAGTTCTTTTGATTTTCTTTTTGTCCCTTCAAGACAATCTTGGCTCTTGGCAATTGCATGGACAATCCATGCGTTTTCTTGCAAATGTTTTTCAAGATGTTTTGTAATTGCCTGCTTCCTAGGGCTGAGAAAGAGAGACTGGTCCAAGATTACCCAGCTGGCTTTATGCCCAAAGCAGGACTAGAACTCACAATCTCCTGGTTTCTAGCCTGGCACCTTAACCACTAGGTTACACTGGCTCTCTCAGGAAGCTGAGGGCTCAGATACCATCTGGCAACCCAATACTGCTCCTGGAACCATTCATGGGCCTTAATAGACTCCAATTTTAGCTTTTTTAAAATTTTGTTAGCTATCTGATTTTGTTATGTTCAGTAAGGGAATACCTCACTTCACTGAACAATATTTTTAAAGCTTCATAATACATTATAGAGCAAAATATCTTGCTTTTTACCCAGCCCTACAAAGGGAAATTGGAAATAGTGGAGGAAGGAGAGGATTCTCTTACAGCTACTGTCTCTTCCCATATTGCATAAAATAGCTGCGAGAACGAACAACTTTTGTCCTTGTGATACCTTATTCTCGCACTAATGATCATTATTTAATCTCCCATCCCACTCATCTTCCTAAATTACACTAGGCAGAAGTGCTTTATCACTGCAGAATATTATACTCATTTGTTCTCTAATAGCAGACACAGTTGCTCAATCCTCAGGACTTTCTAGCCTTCCTTAATCAGCCCAACTTCCCCATGTATGATTTCACAATTTTGCCTTAACCTTGGATGACAGAGAAGTTATACAGGTAGTCCTTGACTTACAACAGTTCGTTTAGTGACTGTTCAAAAGTTACAACAGCACTGAAAAAAAAACACTTATGACTGTTGCAGCATGCCCATGGTCATGTGATCAAAACTCAGGTGCTTGGCAACTGGATCATATTTATGATGATTGCTCTGTCCCGGTGCCACCTGATCCCTTTTTGCAACTTTATGACAAGCAACAACTGCAGTGGTTCACTTAACAACTGTGGCAAAAAAAAAAAGATGTAAAATGGGACCAAACTCACTTAACAATTGTCTCACCTAGCAGTAGAAATGTTGGGGTTAATTGTGGTCATAATTTGAGGACTATCTGCATTTTTAATGAAATCAGCTGGACTACAAATGGATTGAAAACATCTCCAAAGTTTGCACTTCTAAACAAAGCCCCATGTGTTAATAAAGGGCAAGTTGTTAGATCTACAATCAAAATGCATTTTATACACTCCTAACTTGCACAATTTTTTAGGAAAGAACATAGGAAACTGACAAGCTTGGAAATCCACAAATAATTTTATCCTTATGATTAGATTCAATTTACAAAAAAACCCTGATTATTGTGCTACTCCCATATTGTTAATTCATTTGCTCCTAAGAACTTTTGTGCAGGGTTATTTGAATTCAAAGTTGCACTGAAAATACAACATGCTTAGAGGAACTGAGAAAAACTGGGCTGCAGTTGGTTAACATCTCAACTATAAAACCAAAAAAATCATAACTTTGATATCTGCTTGGAGAGTTACTCATAAAATTTTATGTTGATGTGTTTTATCTCTTTGTCTGTTCTATTTATATTCTTTTAAAATGTGTGTCAATAGTACAGCTATAGAGATTCCAAATTTGTAAAGTGAAATTTGATTCTGGACACATGTAGCCTGTACGTAGTACCTATTGGAGATACCTTAAAACAACTACATCTTTTTCTGGACTCCTACCTTTACAACTGTCAAATAATCCTTGGAAAATATCCATTTGGTTTAAGACATTCTAAACAATGTTGTCTCTAATGTGCTCTAAATCACGTTTCTCCCTTTGAATCTAAAGGGCTGGCCAACCCTAATAAATAGCCAGGCCTGGAATGTCTTCTGAACCCAGGGTGTTAGCAAACGGAACATAATAGCTTCCTTTCTCTCAAACTTAATAAAAAACGTGCAGTCACGCAGTAGAGCCAAAATTTCTTATATTATAGAACAGCTGCAACTTCATCCGATTCAGACATGTTGATGAGCTGGAGAAACTATTACTGGAGGGAAGAGTAGCTATTCTGTGGCGCTGTGTGCCCAGATGTGCCTAACACACACATCAAACGCACAGATCCAGCTCCTGATAAATGGGAATAAAACTTGATGGACGTTAATAAAGCCTTCCACAATGTGACGTTGCAGATGTATTGAATAATAGCTCCAATCGGCTGTATCCCAAGACATCTGGAGAGTACCACTTCCAACAAAGCAAAAGAGTAATTTAACTGGGAAAGGCTTAAACAGTAAAAAAAAAAAAAAAAAAAGCTTCCCAATAAATTAAGGCAGTATAAATTATATGCTTCTTCGGCATAAAAAAAAAAAGTTCTGCTTTCATGGCTAGGGAAGGGAAGGGAAGGGAGAGGAGCATAATTTTTTCCCTTTTCTTCTATTAAAAAAATAGAAAAAAATATAGCTCTTCAGAGGTATAGGGAGCACAGCAGACCTCCCAGCCACCCAGGAGGCAAGGCCAGTGGTGAAGACAGGCATACTAGAAGTTGTAACCTCAGCATGTCTAGAGGGCACTAGATTAACTAAGGCTACATGAGGAAGGGAAGTTGCTATTCCTGACATGTAGGTAAACTCCCCAAAATTAACCCACAGACAATGTGGGCAGGGAGCGCTCAAGAAACTAAGAATTCAATCTTCTTAACCCAGGTTTGGACTATCTATCATATTATTCTACTTTACCCAGGGTAGTTCAGTTTTTGAAGGGCTGCCGTGTGCAAATTAAATTTAAAGACAAAGAATTTAGAATACAGGGTGAGAACTTGGAGTTGTCCATCTGAGGTCAGCTTTTTAGACATCAGACTAAAGTGTAGTAGGCGTCCACCTTACGTATTTCCAAATTGGCACCTGTACTTCTAATTTAACATATCAGCACGTTATGCAATTCTGCCCGGTTCTTTTCTTAACGTTGCATTCCTTTCTCCTTGAAGTTGCAGGAAGTGGCACTCTAGGCTAAGGACCCCATTTTGATAAAACTCCAGTATTTATCCGTAACCTTTTCAGGTAAGTCAATATAAGCAAATCTGGGGAGAAAGTAGCTCCCCTTACAGAGGAGGTGGGTGATAGGATGGAACTACTTTCTAGACTGATCCTACATAGCATGGTATCTCCATTAGCGGTGGAAAGCAGACATATAATCTGCCTCTTCTGCATTTGAAGGTGATAGTACTCACAATGGAAAGGAGACACACACACTGGCATGGAAGAGAAAGCTCAAAGGGTCTTTCATCCTGACCAACAAAGCTCCATTGAGCCTCCCACACATGTAAGGACAAGACCCCTTGGGTCAATACAGTTATGTAGCTGGGATTTTGGATTCAGCTCCCCCTGTCCCCACCCCAAGGAGTAGGATAATGGTCCTTTTCAGATTTTATTGCGGGAACAGGCAGGTCATCTCCAGCATAAGGCTCCAGGCTAGGCAGCAACAAGGCAATTAGTGTACTGAAGACAACTGAAGGAGCTCTGGGAATGGCAAAGACACACGGGCAGGCTACCACCAGGCCTCCTGCCATCCTAATTGAATCTCTACCATTTGCATGAGGAACAGAAGGGGGTCATGACCTCCCCTCATGCTCCCTGCTAGAGGTTCAAAAGTTTAAACAGCATTTCTCCTCTCCACCCCCCAATACACATATAAGCAAACTGTAACTTAATTCCATGTGACCAGATGCCACAGCCTCCAGGGGAACTCTTCCTCCCCCCCCCCCTTTCAAAACTGAATCCACAGCTGGGATGAAGGGGGTAGAAGGGGTGGGAATTGGGTTTCTAAACCAGTTCAGTCAAGAAGCCAAAAAATGCACCTTGGTCCTCCTCCTTAGAGATCATTCTGGGCAGAATTAAAAGCTAAGAGATTAATTGTTAAAATCTGGACTGTCAAAGAAGCTATGTATATAAAAAACCCCAGACACATACTCGTCTAAGTCAGCATTTAATTTTTATAATGAGAGATACTGGAGTTCATATTTGCCTTATGATAAGCTGATCTGATTAAGCTGAAGAGCTTTCTAAGACACCTTTGACTGCAAACAACTGAACTGTAATGATGGGAAAATACATCTGCTCATGTTAATAGGCACTAAATAGGTTCATATGCTTCAGTGATGGAATCTATCATCTAAAAGCAGCTTTGGAAAGCCAAGACTTTGGTGCATGTTGAATCCCGAGTATGAAAACTGTGGATAATTTCTGCATCAGTTTTAGCTCAGATTCCTTTTTCCTCCACGGCAGCGACAGATCCAACACATCAGTCTCTCTTCTTCCAAACGGCTATTCGATTCTGTACCTCCTTCCCATCCCCTCTCTCAGCGTCACGCATACACACTTCAAAAGCTGCAAAATCGGGTTAGAAAATGCTGAGTCCAGGGCAAAAGGATTCTGGGGGAAAGGAAATTGTATTTTAACTCTGCAAGGTCTGAATTAGGGACGGCGCAATTGTCGGCAAGTGTCTGAGGGACCGGGTACCATAAATTAAATGGGAGTTATGATCTGGATGTTGACATAGATGTGCCTGGTCTGGGAAGTTCTGTGAAGAAGAAAGAAAAAAATCCAAGCCTGAGGATATCTACACCTATTGGTAGCCATGGCTGAGCAGAGACAGGACACTGAGGAGACGGAGGTGGGAGTAATCCATTGGGATGTGCCATGCTGGGGTGTGGTCTCTGGCTGCTGAGACCACTGCAGGAAAGAACAGGCTCCACGAGAGGCAGCAGAGGAGGGAGGAGGAAAAGAGGGCCTGCCGAGGAGATCGGGGTGGGGGCATATGAGCCAGTGGACCATGTCTCCTGAGACATAACTGGCAGCAGCTGAGGGAAGGGAGGTGCTGTAGCCAAACCTGGAATGCTTTGGCAGAAGCTCCAGACTGCCGCAGTCAGCTTCAGGTTCAAAATCAAAGAGATGTTCTCCATTTCATTCACCTCTTAGGCACAACTTTCTGCCAACTGTATCTGTGACCCTACGTTTCAGCCTCTGCCAGCCCAATGCCTGGACTTTACACCCCTTTTCCAGCTCTTGTGTGGCACACACCATGCATCTCCTGCTCAGCTCTTCTTATTTCCTTCCCAATCTCTCCCTCTGCCCAGATAGACAGGGGAGGGGAGTGCCGACTCCTTCGCTGCCTAGTTAATATTTAATGTGACAAGTCTGTTGGGCACAACACTGTGTAGAGTGGTACCTAATGGCAACTGGGAGGTGGATGCTAGTAACCACCATGACTCCTGACATCTGACTTGCAGCAAGCAGAAAGGAAAAGGCTTGAGAGCAAGTGTCCCACTGCAGGTGTCCCTCTGGAACCTTCTGAGACTGGAGCCCCTGGGGCTTCTGCAAAGGTGAAGAGGAAGGGGGAATAGCAGAAACTATCTCTGCTTGCTGAGCTGTTCCATGCCTCCTTCCACCAACAAGTTCAGTGGGGAGAAATCTCATCCATTTGCCTTCTGGAAAAAGAGCGCCCGGTGAGTAGCCTCTCATGCTACGGCAGCCATTTTGTCAGGGCACCCACTACAAATTTCAGAATTCCAAGTGTATCAGAAGGAGATCTCCCTCAGGAAGAGAAGCTTCTGGTGAATATTAATTATTTTGCAAAATTCTGATTTAGGTTATTAATATTATTTATCTCTTCCTTTATCTCCCCTTAGTCATCACATTGTTCCATCCAGCTCAGGGTTTCCACAGTTGGGCAACTTAAATGATGCATGGACTTCAATGCCCAGAATTCCCTACCCAGTGTAATTATGGCTGAGAATTTGGAGAGTTTTTCAGGTTTACAAACACTGATCTAACTCATCTGTTTCCCCCTTCAGATATGATGGTACAACTACAACAACTTCCGGAATGGGTAGCCACACCGGCTGGAAATTGTAGCCGCAGTGCATCAAGAAGGCACCACATCAGGCACAGCTAGTTTATACTACTGGCAGAAGCTCAGGCTTACTTGGAGACTTAGGGTTAAGGCTGGAATTTTCTGTATGCAATGTATTTTCTGTATGAATTTTCTGTATGCAAAGCCCAGGGGTTAAGCCACTGGGTTTATCAACTGAAAAGCTGGCAGCCCAGGTTTGAGACCCGAGCGCCCCATGATGGGGTGAGCTCCCCACCATGAGGGAGCTAACCTCAGCTTCTGCCAGCCTAGTAGTTTGAAAGCATACAAATGCGCATAGATAAATAGGTACCAGTTTGGTGGGGAGGAAACAGCATTCTGTGACATCATGCTGGCCACATGACCAGTGGTGGGATTCTCATTTTTTTTACTACCGGTTCTGTGGGCGTGGCTTGGTGGGCGTGGCAGGGGAAGGATACTGTAAAATCTCCAGTCAGAGGTGGTATTTGCCGGTTCTCCGAACTACTCAAAAATTCCGCTACAAGTTCTCCAGAACTGGTCAGAACCTGCTGAATACCCACCTCTGCACATGACCATAGAAATGTCTTTGCAAAGCTCTCGCCCACTGGCCTTGAAATAGAGATGAGAACTGCCCCCTATAGTTGGCAATGACTAGGGGAATAAAATTGCAGGGACTCCTTTACCTTTACCTACTTTATGCAAAGTGTGTGCTCTGTCATTGAGTGACCTATGAAGCCTTTTTGGAGGATTATAAGGGAGAGGAGGAAAAATCCACATGCTGACATATGCGTTGTAGCAGGAAAATAAAGTTTGATCCAATTGCTCCCTTAAATAATATAATATTACTCAGCCCTCCCCACCATTACTCATATTTTCAGCCCATTTTAAACAAAGCTATTAAATAAGTGGTTTTGCAGATAGGTGATAGGGCTTTGCTGCTGTTAAGTTTCTTTACTCTCAGAGCACAGACAATGATGATGTATGCCAGGGGTGTCCAACCTTGGCAACTTTAAGACTTGTGGACTTCAACTCCCAGAATTCCTCAGCCAGC